CCTTTCGAGATGTAAAGTTGATAGTCACACGAAGTTTATTTGGGGCCTATGAAAATGCGAATTCGAAATTAATCGATTTTATAAAACATTTTTCTTTCATCTACATGCATACATCTAACAGTATCTCCATACTAAGCTGGTTTGGCTGGCCCTAAATAAGCTTCGTGTGACTATTAACTTTGCATCTCGACTCGGGCGAGCGGCGAAAACAACCGCGACCCTGAGTGGGTCCCGAAAGGCTAAACGCTGGACGGGGGTAATCCACCCGGAGAATAAAACGCCGGGACCAGAAAGCGGCCTCATTTCCAGCACTGCCTGTGAGCCCTGCTGACACCTCAGTAGTCATACGTCCCCTCCGGTAACGGTGGTCTGTCTGGTGACCTGACCTGTGACCCCTGCTGACATTTCAGTAGTCACACGTCCCCTCCGGTGACAGTGGTCTGTCTGGTGACCTGACCTGTGACCCCTGATGACACCTCAGTAGTCATACGCCCCCTGCGGTGATGGTGGACGGTCTGGTGACATGACCTGTGACCCCTGCTGACACCTCAGTAGTCATACGTCCCCTCCGGTGACAGTGGTCTGTTTGGTGACCTGACCTGTGACCCCTCCTGACACCTCAGTAGTCATACGTCCCCTCCGGTGACAGTGGTCTGTCTGGTGACCTGACCTGTGACCCCTCCTGACACCTCAGTAGTCATACGTCCCCTCTGGTGACAGTGGTCTGTCTGGTGACCTGACCTGTGACCCTGCTGACACCTCAGTAGTCTCCGGTGACGGTGGACGGTATGGTAATCTGACCTGTGACCCATGATGACCTCGCAGTAGTCACACGTCCCCTCCGGTGACGGTGGTCTGTCTGGTGACCTGACCTGTGACCCCTGCTGACATCTCAGTAGTCACATGTCCCCTCCGGTGACAGTGGTCTGTCTGGTGACCTGACCTGTGACCCCTGATGACATCTCAGTGGTCATACGTCCCCTCCGGTGACGGTTGACGGTCTGGTGACCTGACCTGTGACCCCTGCTGACACCTCAGTAGTCATACGTCCCCTCCGGTAACAGTGGTCTGTCTGGTGACCTGACCTGTGACCCTGCTGACACCTCAGTAGTCATACGTCCCCTCCGGTGACAGTGGTCTGTCTGGTGACCTGACCTGTGACCCTGCTGACACCTCAGTAGTCATACGTCCCCTCCGGTGACAGTGGACTGTCTGGTGACCTGACCTGTGACCCTGCTGACACCTCAGTAGTCATACGTCCCCTCCGGTGACAGTGGTCTGTCTGGTGACCTGACCTGTAACCCCTGCTGACACCTCAGTAGTCTCCGGTGACGGTGAACGGTCTGGTGACCTGACCTGTGACCCCTGCTGACACCTCAGTAGTCTCCGGTGACGGTGGACGGTCTGGTGACCTGACCTGTGACCCCTGCTGACACCTCAGTAGTCATACGTCCCCTCCGGTGACAGTGGTCTGTCTGGTGACCTGACCTGTGACCCCTGCTGACACCTCAGTAGTCATACGTCCCCTCCGGTGACAGTGGACTGTCTGGTGACCTGACCTGTGACCCTGCTGACACCTCAGTAGTCTCCGGTGACGGTGAACGGTCTGGTGACCTGACCTGTGACCCCTGCTGACACCTCAGTAGTCTCCGGTGACGGTGGACGGTCTGGTGACCTGACCTGTGACCCCTGCTGACACCTCAGTAGTCATACGTCCCCTCCGGTGACAGTGGTCTGTCTGGTGACCTGACCTGTGACCCCTGCTGACACCTCAGTAGTCATACGTCCCCTCCGGTGACAGTGGACTGTCTGGTGACCTGACCTGTGACCCTGCTGACACCTCAGTAGTCTCCGGTGACGGTGAACGGTCTGGTGATCTGACCTGTGACCCCTGCTGACACCTCAGTAGTCATACGTCCCCTCCGGTGACAGTGGTCTGTCTGGTGACCTGACCTGTGACCCCTGCTGACATCTCAGTAGTCATACGTCCCCTCCGGTGACAGTGGTCTTTCTGGTGACCTGACCTGTGACCCTGCTGACACCTCAGTAGTCTCCGGTGACGGTGGACGGTCTGGTGATCTGGCCTGTGACCCCTGCTGACATCTCAGTAGTCACACGTCCCCTCCGGTGACAGTGGTCTGTCTGGTGACCTGACCTGTGACCCCTGATGACACCTCAGTAGTCATACGTCCCCTCCGGTGATGGTGGACGGTCTGGTGACATGACCTGTGATGTGACCCCTGCTGACACCTCAGTAGTCATACGTCCCCTCCGGTGACAGTGGACTGTCTGGTGACATATACGAGTAGCTTGGAGTATCCCGATATGTGTAGCTCTGAAAACTGACGGCTTTCTCTTTCTCAGGTGCGGCTGATAGACGGCATGCTGCTTCCCGGGTGATCGGGCGCCTCTCCGGAGTCCGGCTGCGTGGTCGTACTTAGTCGACCTACCTCGTTGGCCACCGATGCACCTCCTGTCGGGAATTACACATTGTCGGGGCGATGTCGTGGTCTGCCGGTGAAGAGGCGCCGCCGCCGCCGCCGCCGCCGCTGGCCGTGGCGTCCTCGTCCTCAAACGGCGGCACCGCCGTACCGGCGGACATCCCCGACTGCGTGCTGTCTGAGCTGTGGGCGGCACACTCGGACGGCGTCGGCTCGCCGCTGATCGACATCTACACGGAGACGGACTGCTCGTCCCAGGTGTCTGATGAGGAGGCGTCTGCAGGCGGCGGCGTCGCCTTCACGGAGCTAATCGAGGTGATTGAGGATGGTGACTGCGGCGCCGTCTCCGGGACCGGCAGACTCATCTGGGTTGTGGAGAATGACGTGACGAAGGCTGGTGAGTTGAAGACGAGCCGCTCATCACCGCCACAACGGGCTGCGGAAGTGAATTGCACCCGGTCTGCCGCAGCGCCGAGCAATCTCGTCAGCCAGCGAGGCCGCGCGAAGGAGATATCTGGCCCTCCGAGATCGCCGGTGACGCCGAAGAGACGCACCCCGGACGTCGAATCAGCCTGTGACCGCAAGTCTGTGCCGCGATCAGTGAACGCTGACGTGGTAGCTCCGGTGCAGGCCTGCGCCGGAGCTACCGCGACTGTCGAGCCGCCGCCTTGCGCTGACGGCACTGGCACGGTGTCGGGACGGGTGTGCGGTGTGTCAGCCGGCGGGGACGGTTCGGAGACCGAGCTGCGTGTGCCGACTGACCGGACGGGCCTTCCAGCGCTGACGCCGGAACAGCGGCGCCGCATAAGCTACCAGGTATGTACCGACTGTCTTACGTTGTTATGGTGTCTTCTGTATTTATTTATATTGGTGAATTTGCATTACTGCTTCGTAAACGGACCTGTAAACCCTGCAGCCTATCGTAAAACAATGTTTGCAAGGAACAGCTAATTGTGTTAAACATGATGTTTTTACACAAAGCTCTCGGGCCTAAAGGAATGAATAAACTGTTTTCCGGCCGTTGCCGCCGCCCTCATTATAACCTCACCTTACAATGCTGTATGTCGTCATAACATGGTCATAAGTGCCAAACAAACAGAAACACAAAAGTGCTCAAGCTGTCAAAGTTAAGCCACCCATTTTGCATATACTTGTGTGATTGATAAAGCAACAGATCATGTCCGTCTGTCCTTCATTTCTTCTCCCTGTCTCTTCTCCCTGTCCACTGCCTCTCTCTCTCTCTCTCTCTCTCTCTCTCTCTCTCTCTCTCTCTCTCTCTCTCTCTCTCTCTCTCTCTCTCTCTCTCTCTCTCTCTCTCTCTCTCTCTCTCTCTCTCTCTCTCTCTCTCTCTCTCTCGATCCCTGTGTAATTATATAATTCACTTTGTAAATGAATGAAACACAATCTTTTCCCAGGGCATTTGGGAGGCAACAAGACAAGGACTGTCACCAAGGCTGAAGTCGTTCTGGGTGCGTGTCCTGGAGAGACGCGATGGGAAGCCGAAGAACGCCAAACAGCGAGCGGCTTTGTCCCGGAAAGCCGACGCACTGCGCCGAGATTTTGCCAGAGGACATTTTAGGAAGGTGTGTATTCTGACTCGATTGCACATACCGTGGGTAAAGCACCGATAATATGCAATGTATAAACCCAGGTCATGACGTTTATTTAAAAACACGTGCAAGTAAAAGGGAGAAGAAGAAAAACATCAGAATGACAACACGGATTATGACTGTCGGGGGACACACTGAGGGCAGATGACGCTGCCTTGTAGGCTAGCGCAAGGAAAAGAGTAAGAGGTGTTAATGTTGTTAGAGGAGAGAATGCTAGTGTTTCAGTATTAGGCTAGCGACTGAACAGCGCTACCAGACCAGGGGTGCTCCAAAAGCAGACCGGCTCCCGAGCCGCAGGTACGCGTACAGGGGAACGCCTCCACAAGGGCGGGAAATGCCTACTCTTGGCCATCCGCAGGCCCAAGCAGCAGCGACAGTGCGTCTCCCGCCGCCATTAATCAGCTGCAGTACCGACCAGGTCCGCGCATGTACTTGGCGAATATTAGTATTGGATTTTTTGCGCTTTCGTTCCCCACAACTGACTGGCACAAATAAGAAATGGCACATGTTACCAAGTGGCCATGTACCCTATGCCATCATGCAAAGCTTTAAATATGTCCTTGGCTCCTTGTGCTAATTTTGTTGCAACATTGTTCTATATTGTATGGTTTCTCCATCTTCATTCTGATTATATGGCTTGTTGTTCTCGATTATAATGCGATATGTTTAACTTCTAATGAATTAAGATATGATAAACACTGGCAAAGGTCAGAACAAGCTTTGATGATGTTGACACAAGAGCATAAAACACACACGAAGTCCACAACCATCAGTAATGCGAAAGTAATCAGTGTCCTAACTCCTGGTGCTCACCTATTGCAAAAAATAAGAATACAATTATGAAGATATCGACGCATTTTAACCCCATCCCGGTTCTATAAACCGGACAAGTTGGAAGCGAGGCTGGCGAGCCACGCCGAGCCTCGCGGGCCGCCGACCATGAACTGTTTTTGTTTTTTTTTTTTTTGCTTTTTATCGGAAAAAATGCGGTAGAGATAGAATACCCACAGTTTTGCATAGTAAACAGTCGGTGGGACATTATAGGCTGGCGCGCCACAAACCACTTCTAGAGCCAGAACCCCCATATATGTCCGCCGTTTAATCGTCAGAAAACGTGACGTGGTTTGAAAGGGTGGAGATGTTGTCCGACCTCTGTTGCTCTCCTTTGACCATGGCCTAAAACCGAATCATTTTCCTTCTCCTAGGCATGTGCTGGAGCTCATCAGTGCACTTCCGCATCCTGTTCCTACCGGACCTCGGCCCCATACCGATACGACATGTCACCATCAGGCGACGACAGAGGCGGACCCCGGGTGTCCCGCGACGCCAGTGCCGGACCAGCGAGAGGCGGACCCCGGGTGTCCTGCGACGCCAGTGCCGAACCAGCGAGAGGCGGACCCCGGGTGTCCTGCGACGGCAGTGCCAGACCAGCGAGAGGCGGACCCCGGGTGTCCTGCGACGGCAGTGCCAGACCAGCGAGAGGCGGACCCCGGGTGTCCTGCGACGCCAGTGCCGGACCAGCGAGAGGCGGACCCCGGGTGTCCTGCGACGGCAGTGCCGGACCAGCGAGAGGCGGACCCCGGGTGTCCTGCGACGGCAGTGCCGGACCAGCGAGAGGCGGGGCCGTCGACTTTCACGTTTCAGCTCGATGAAAAGGAGGTCAAACAGGTATTTGTCGGACGTAATCTGAAGAAAGATTGACCCTCAACGCTGGCGACGGCGTTCTGCCGAAGCACTCCCGGGCCGAAATGCGTACTGGCCGTCCGTCGACGGCGAATCAAGAAGCTGTGGTCGCGTAAGAGGGGTGCTGCGTTTTTCACCTGCTTCGCCACATGTCGCTTCCCCTCGTGCAGTTCGTACTCTTTCTCAATTCAACATACGCCGTCGGTAGGGGAACCGCTGACTGTGCGCTGCACGACGTACGGCACGCCGAGCACGGCGCATCAGCTGCAGCACGCCCACCGGTACCTCAGCGGAGAGCGGCGACGGGAGACTGCTGAGCGCGTGGAAGATCGCGGAGCGTACCGTGTGTCGCAAGATATGCTGATGCAGGCACCGGACTGCGAGCTCGCGGACGGAAATATCACCGAGGCGCCACCTCGCCACATCCTGCGCCAAGCGGCACACGAGCGTCGGGTGGCCGAGCGCCACTCGACGAACTGGACTGAAGACCTGGCGGCGACGATGGCTATATCACGAGCCGAGGATCTGACTAGTAAAGTCGTGAAGGGTGGCATCCATCTCATCGGGAGGGCACCGGTCGTGGTACACCTCTACAGGGAGCACTTCTTCCGGCGATACCATCTGGCTCCGAGGACGCTCCACCTCGATGCCACGGGCTCTGTCACCCGCCAAGTCGGCGAGAAACGGCCATATTTGTACGCGCTCATCGCCGAGAGCCCTGACACCGACAGGAGTTTTCCGCTAGCCCACCTGCTGGCGGAAAGCCACAATGTGCCCACTATCGCGCATTTCCTGGCACAGGTGGCCCATGGATACAAACTCGTGACCAGGGTCCCTCTCACGCCTCCAAGGGTGGTCACGGACTTCAGTTGGGCGCTTATACACGCTGTGTCGGAGGCGATCGTCAAGACCACAACCGAAGCGTACCTCGAGGCCTGCTGGCAAAGCCTCACAGACCCTACGAAGCAGCCCAAGACTCTCGTAAGTCTCTGCGGTGCCCACCTGTTGCACAGTTTCGCGCACACCCTGAAGAGCAAAGGAGTGGCTGCAGAGGCAAGACCTGGCTTCATGTGGCTCTTCGCCAGCATGCAGCAGGCCACCTCGCTGCAAACTCTAGACACAACGTACAAGCGACTCTGTGTCCTGGCCCTGTCGAGGAGCAAGTGCGCCGTGGAGCTGCCGGAAGTCACGCGCGTAGACTATGGAACAGACGACCGCCAAGAAACCGAGGCGCCGCTGGAGGCAGCCGAAGACGCGCCAGCCCGGAGGACCTACCGCGCGCGGACCGCGTTCGGGCGTCACTTCGAGGACATCACTAACGGAGTCAAGTGCAGCCTGCAGACGGACGGGGAAGCCAGCGATGTCCCCAACAAGTACTTCTGCCCTGGCCTGGTAGAGTACTTGCTGGGGGCTGTCATGCCGCTCACTCCACTTTGGAGTCAAGTGATCTCGGCTGCCGTGGTGACCAACGCGGCAGTCGAGTCACACTTCAAGGTCGTCAAAAAACAGATGCTGCAGGGACGCACTCGACTGCAGCCAGGCGACTTTGTGCGAGTCCTGCTGAAGGACACGGCTGCCCGCATGAAGGCGGCTTTGATCCCGAGCCGGCCTGTCCTCAGGGGCCGGAAAAGGAAGGCAGCAGAAGGGCTGTTTCATCCTGAAACCCAGGAGGAATGCTGGGCCAAGCGCCGCACGAGTGACAAGCCCACGTGGTATGCTCGTACTAAGCCACCGCTGGACTTGGCCCCCGAGACGGCCCCTGCCCAAGCGACGAAACCGGCCCCCAAGACGGCCCCAGCCCCGGCGACCAAATCGGTCCCTGAGCGAGCACCGTCAGCCGCCACCGCAGCAGAGCGTGGACCGTCAGTCACGGTCCCTGAGCGAGCACCGTCAGCCGCCACCGCAGCAGAGCGTGGACCGTCAGCCACGGTCCCTGAGCGAGCACCGTCAGCCGCCACCGCAGCAGAGCGTGGACCGTCAGTCACGGTCCCTGAGCGAGCACCGTCAGCCGCCACCGCAGCAGAGCGTGGACCGTCAGCCACGGTCCCTGAGCGAGCACCGTCAGCCGCCACCGCAGCAGAGCGTGGACCGTCAGCCACGGTCCCTGAGCGAGCCAGCGGACGAGCGCCGTCAGCCGCCACCGCAGGGCGTCCCAAAGGACGGGCGCCGTCAGCCGCCACCTCAGGGCGTCCCAAAGGACGGCCGCTGCGAACAGGACAACCACCGAAGCGCAGACCCTGGCTGACCGCGGAGGACATCGATCTGTTCTGCGAGTCCATATCATCTCCGCAGGTGCTGGCACTGTCGGTGTACTGGTATGGTGCTCTCAGGACACCCTGTCGACGCTGCACCACAGAATCGATGAGGCAGTTCGCCACAGCGAACACGTGGTTGTTGCCACTGAATATTGGCAATCACCGGGTCCTCTTCGTAGTGGATTGGCGCCGTCAAGTGGTGCTGTTCTTCGACTCCATGGGCTGTTGGCCATCCGGAGCCTACACAGAGGCAGTGCAGCTCCTCATGGAGGCGACGCAGCCCCATCTCAAGTGGACCAGCTGGCGCCTGGTGGTGCCCGAGACTCCGCAGCAGACGGACACGTGGAGCTGCGGCTACAGAGTTTGCTGGCTGGCACTCGCGGCGGCCACTGGCAGCACTACGCCGTACTCTTCTGATGCTGAAGAAAACGTGCTCGCTCGGATACAGGTGCAAATTCAAATTGACCGTCCCATTTCAGACGCGAGTGTACTAATCGCAAACTTTCAAAGCGTATGTCCTTTATGAGACCTTTTAGAGTGTCGTTTATATATAAACTGCATAAACTTCCTTTAATAGTTTTCGTCATTTCACCTAGTATCATTTGTGTCATTGTACAGCTGTCATCTATTCTGTTCTCAGTAGCCAGGGGATAACCAGGTTGGCTGGTGCCAAAAGACAGATTTCGAGGGCTCCCGACTCAATTTAGTTATCTTAAGTGTTTCCCTATGTTGAGCTGAGTTTTTCTTTGTTACAGAAGGCGACAAAGCTTGCCAACGCGCCATCAGCCTGTCGGTGTGCGGAAGCGCAGGTTGTCGGTGTGCGGCCGCAGTCACTCAGACGACTGAGAGTGGCAACACCGGCCAACCTCTACCTGGCTGCTCTCCGCTGATACGGTACGTTTTCATTGGTTGTAATACAATTATACCAACACTTGGAGAACATTTAAAACGGTACCGACAACGAAGTTTTACATACACTGATGCTGATATTCTGCCCCCTGTCCGTCGACTCGGTACCCGGAGCTGTTTTCCTTCAGTCCGATATAGACACCTGGTGTCAGCTGTTGCTTTCGACGTGATCCGTTTCAAGATTGTCTTTGACTTATAGACAGAGCTTCCTTGTCATGGAAAAGTAATAAGTTAATTTCCATTTTGTCGCCTGCTTTCCGTACTACCTGCTTCCATCTACTACTACCTTGTATGATCTTAGCGGAATGCCGACCCACTGCTATCTCTCTGTATGTTCGTGACGCCGCTTCCGTGTTCCGGCAGCTGGATCGGAGCGTCGCCGCCGCCGTCCGACTGGTGGCATCGCGCCAGAGCTGCACCGACGCAGTGCTGGCCCTGCTGCTCGACACGGCCGCGCTGCTGCGAAGTCGACTCATTGGCCGGATCCACTGTGTGCCTGCTGATGCTCACCCGCCGGCAGCCGGCGGTCACGGCCTGGTGGCGGCACGGCGGCGCCGACCTGACTCAGTGTCACCAGGGCAGGTAGTGTTTTGGACCACCTGATCAATGACGAGTGTGGGCGGACATATCGCTTGTGCCGCGGTATTGAGCGCCTAGAGTTGGTGCGAGAAGAGCTGGTCAGTATGTGTATGTGCTGATATCAAGTGCGGGTGGTGGCTGTTATTGGAGAACCAGCTGGCCAGCTGCAGTGTCTCTGAACGCGCCGCTGAATGCCGCCGAGTCGGCTGCATAGCTTATATCTATCAGCTGCATACGGTGGACTGCTGACTGTTGTCCACAAGGTACCGCCGTCTTTCGGTTGGCTGTTCGTCACAAACGCGGTAATTTTCGTGACGAATGCCGACGCGGCGCGTGTTTCTCATATCGAGTAACTTCTCACAGTGTGAAGTGAATATCGTCGGCTTATTGTAGACTGCTCATGTACGAGTTTGATCTGTGGTGGGGATGACGGACTGTTGGCTCTTATAATCACCGAGAGCGTTCCGCCGGCTTGCGCGCGTGGATCTCACCGCGCCTGGAGACGCTGCGGCCGATGCTGATGCGCGGCTGTCTGGTGATAACCAAGCGCGGCTAGATGATCTGCGAACTGCTTTCTACGCACGAGACGGTGCTACTCGAGCTGGACGCCAGCGCCGGCGCCGGCACTCATCTGCTAGAGCGTATAAACTTAACAGCGTGTCCGTGGGCAAGTTGTTCGAGCGCTCGGTGACCTGAATTTGGAGGAGCGGGAGTCTACCCTGGCGCTCCCGAACTACCGGCTCACCAAGAAGCCGCACCTGGCCGTGGTGGCGCACATTTTCGCAACGTTCGGCTACTCGTCTCAGCTGAGCTGGACCGGCGCAGGCTCTCCGATGTGGCACTGATGTCGCACTGTGAGCTGAGCTTGGGTGCCTGGAGTCGTTCGGTGGAGCACGACCCGGGCCTGCGTGCTGTACTGCTAGAGAGGCCGCGGGTCGCTGGACTCTATGTGATGAATGTGTGTGAGCGCGTTCCGCGGCTGCCTTCGGCAGCGATGCGCTGACTCGCTGCCGTCACTGACTCGCTCAGCACCCAGCTGAGCTCGCTGATACTCATGCTCTCAGGACTGTTCGCCTCTAAGACGTTGCGCGTGCAATCACCATGCAGCGATGGTAGCTGATGTGTCCGCTTGAGTAGGACAAAGTGATGCACTTGAACATACTCGTTCTGTTCTCTGCTATGTTCTGTTCACGTTCTGTTGGTGCGCGGTACCGGCCGTGCCGACTGCACCGCGTGCCAAGACGGCGTGTCGCGTCGCGGACGTGGCGTTTCTACTGCGGCTTGCAGTCTTGCGGATTGAGGTGGACAAGTCTGACGTTAAAGCTGATCTCGGGCGCTGGAGGTCGTGAGCATTAATGGCATGCCCTGCAAATGATAAATAAATATTGTTTTCCTTTCGCTTGCGTTTGGCTCTTATCAGCCCATATTCTCGCTGGAGACTGTGTCCAGTCCGGCGACCTCAAATGACTGATGACTTACAGGCCAGGTCGCGTGAGGTCATAAGACGCGTGAGGTCATCAGGGGTCACGGGTCATGTCACCAGACCGTCAACCGTCACCGGAGGGGACGTATGACTACTGAGATGTCAGCAGGGGTCACAGGTCATGTTACCAGGCAGACCACTGTCACCGGAGGGGACGTATGACTACTGAGATGTCAGCAGGGGTCACAGGTCAGGTCACCAGACAGACCACTGTCACCGGAGGGGACGTGTGACTACTGATGTGTCATCAGGGGTCACAGGTCAGGTCACCAGACAGACCACTGTCACCGGAGGGGACGTGTGACTACTGAGATGTCAGCAGGAGTCAGGCCAGATCACCAGACCGTTCACCGTCACCGGAGACTACTGAGGTGTCAGCAGGGGTCACAGGTCAGGTCACCAGACCGTCCACCATCACCGGAGGGGACGTATGACTACTGAGGTGTCATCAGGGGTCACAGGTCAGGTCACCAGACAGACCACTGTCACCGGAGGGGACGTGTGACTACTGAGGTGTCAGCAGGGGTCACAGGTCAGGTCACCAGACCGACCACTGTCACCGGAGGGGACGTATGACTACTGAGGTGTCAGCAGGGTCACAGGTCAGGTCACCAGACAGACCACTGTTACCGGAGGGGACGTGTGACTACTGCGAGGTCATCATGGGTCACAGGTCAGATCGCCAGACCGTCCACCGTCACCGGAGACTACTGAGGTGTCAGCAGGGTCACAGGTCAGGTCACCAGACAGACCACTGTCACCGGAGGGGACGTATGACTACTGAGATGTCAGCAGGGGTCATAGGTCATGTCACCAGACAGACCACTGTCACCGGAGGGGATGTTTGACTACTGAGATGTCAGCAGGGGTCACCAGACAGACCACTGTCACCGGAGGGGACGTATGACTACTGAGATGTCAGCAGGGGTCACAGGTCATGTCACCAGACCGTCCACCATCACCGGAGGGGACGTATGACTACTGAGGTGTCATCAGGGGTCACAGGTCAGGTCACCAGACAGACCACTTTCACCGGAGAGGACGTATGACTACTGAGGTGTCAGCAGGGGTCACCAGACAGACCACTGTCACCGGAGGGGACGTATGACTACTGAGGTGTCAGCAGGGGTCACAGGTCATGTCACCAGACCGTCCACCATCACCGGAGGGGACGTATGACTACTGAGGTGTCAGCAGGGTCACAGGTCAGGTCACCAGACAGACCACTGTCACCGGAGGGGACGTGTGACTACTGAGATGTCAGCAGGGGTCACAGGTCAGGTCACCAGACAGACCACTGTCACCGGAGGGGACGTATGACTACTGAGATGTCAGCAGGGGTCACAGGCCAGGTCACCAGACAGACCACTGTCACCGGAGGGGACGTATGAATACTGAGGTGTCAGCAGGGTCACAGGTCAGGTCACCAGACAGACCACTGTCACCGGAGGGGACGTATGACTACTGAGATGTCAGCAGGGGTCACAGGTCATGTTACCAGACAGACCACTGTTACCGGAGGGGACGTGTGACTACTGCGAGGTCATCATGGGTCACAGGTCATGTCACCAGACAGACCACTGTCACCGGAGGGGACGTATGACTACTGAGGTGTCATCAGGGGTCACAGGTCAGGTCACCAGACAGACCACTGTCACCGGAGGGGACGTGTGACTACTGAGGTGTCAGCAGGGGTCACAGGTCAGGTCACCAGACCGACCACTGTCACCGGAGGGGACGTATGACTACTGAGGTGTCAGCAGGGTCACAGGTCAGGTCACCAGACAGACCACTGTTACCGGAGGGGACGTGTGACTACTGCGAGGTCATCATGGGTCACAGGTCAGATCGCCAGACCGTCCACCGTCACCGGAGACTACTGAGGTGTCAGCAGGGTCACAGGTCAGGTCACCAGACAGACCACTGTCACCGGAGGGGACGTGTGACTACTGAGATGTCAGCAGGGGTCACAGGTCAGGTCACCAGACAGACCACTGTCACCGGAGGGGACGTATGACTACTGAGATGTCAGCAGGGGTCACAGGCCAGGTCACCAGACAGACCACTGTCACCGGAGGGGACGTATGAATACTGAGGTGTCAGCAGGGTCACAGGTCAGGTCACCAGACAGACCACTGTCACCGGAGGGGACGTATGACTACTGAGATGTCAGCAGGGGTCACAGGTCATGTTACCAGACAGACCACTGTTACCGGAGGGGACGTGTGACTACTGCGAGGTCATCATGGGTCACAGGTCATGTCACCAGACAGACCACTGTCACCGGAGGGGACGTATGACTACTGAGGTGTCATCAGGGGTCACAGGTCAGGTCACCAGACAGACCACTGTCACCGGAGGGGACGTGTGACTACTGAGGTGTCAGCAGGGGTCACAGGTCAGGTCACCAGACCGACCACTGTCACCGGAGGGGACGTATGACTACTGAGGTGTCAGCAGGGTCACAGGTCAGGTCACCAGACAGACCACTGTTACCGGAGGGGACGTGTGACTACTGCGAGGTCATCATGGGTCACAGGTCAGATCGCCAGACCGTCCACCGTCACCGGAGACTACTGAGGTGTCAGCAGGGTCACAGGTCAGGTCACCAGACAGACCACTGTCACCGGAGGGGACGTATGACTACTGAGATGTCAGCAGGGGTCATAGGTCATGTCACCAGACAGACCACTGTCACCGGAGGGGATGTTTGACTACTGAGATGTCAGCAGGGGTCACAGTCCAGGTCACCAGACAGACCACTGTCACCGGAGGGGGCGGACACCGGGGTGTCCGCCACTACGTAATATTCTGTCGAAATTATGATGCCCAAAGGAAAACACTATTTGATAACGCTTCTCGTATACTGAGAGAAAATTTTGCAAATTACTCACCCGACCAAAAATTGAACATTCTTATCCACGGAGATCGCTTGAGTGGCGAGGGCAGTCGAGAAATGGCTTACGCCTTTCAAAAGTTTTTGACAAAAACAAATAGATTTTCGTAGTAACAAATAAATTCATTCAGTTTTCAAAATTTGCAATCCCGAGGACTGAGCGGCTGATGGAACACCAAAATTTACCGCTCATGAGCGACTGGTCAGCGGCGGCGGCGGTTGTTTCACATGTTTTATTTTTGTTTCAGAGTGGTGCCTCGAGTTAAGCGATTGCGCTTTTGCACCACTCTGCTATCACTTTTATGTTGCTACATTGTGCCATATGTTTCATTGATCATGCTTTATTTCTCGTGTATCTTTTGTTCCTTAATAAACGTTTTGTGTGTGTGTGTGTGTGTGTGTGTGTGTGTGTGTATGACTACCTACTGAGGTGTCAGCAGGGTCACAGGTCAGGTCACCAGACAGACCACCTTCACCGGAGGGGACGTATGACTACTGAGGTGTCAGCAGGGGTCATAGGTCATGTCACCACACCGTCAACTGTCACCGGAGGGGATGTTTGACTACTGAGATGTCAGCAGGGGTCACAGGTCAGGTCACCAGACAGACCACTGTCACCGGAGGGGACGTATGACTACTGAGGTGTCAGCAGGGGTCACAGGTCAGGTCACCAGACAGACCACTGTCACCGGAGGGGACGTATGACTACTGAGGTGTCAGCAGGGTCACAGGTCAGGTCACCAGACAGACCACTGTCACCGGAGGGGACGTATGACTACTGAGGTGTCAGCAGGGGTCATAGGTCATGTTAAACAGACCGTCAACCATCACCGGAGGGGATGTTTGACTACTGAGATGTCAGCCGGGGTCACAGGCCAGGTCACCAGACAGACCACTGTCGCCGGAGGGGACATGTGACTACTGAGATGTCAGCAGGGGTCACAGGCCAGATCACCAGACCATTCACCGTCACCGGAGACTACTGAGGTGTCAGCAGGGGTCACAGGCCAGGTCACTCAGACAGACCACTGTCACCGGAGGGGACGTATGACTACTGAGGTGTCAGCAGGGGTCACAGGTCAGGTCACCAGACAGACCACTGTCACCGGAGGGGACGTATGACTACTGAGGTGTCAGCAGGGGTCACAGGTCATGTCACCAGACCGTCCACCGTCACGAGAGGGGACTGGTCTGTCTGGTGACCTGACCTGTGACCCCTGATTACCTCTCAGTAGTCACCTGTTGTCTCTGGTGACGGTGGCCCGTCTGGAGACCCACGTGACCTGGCCTGTCACCCATGCTGTCCTCCCAGTAGTCACCTGTCCCACCTGGGGATTGTGGCCGTCTGGTGACCCCACGTGACCTGGCCTGGGAATTATGCTGAGTCCTGACACTCTGCAGACGGTGGTCTATTCCGCGACCTCACAAGATCTCACCTGTCTGACCTCTGCTGTCCTCTCAGCAATCACCTGTCCCCTCTGGAGATGATGGTTCACCTGTGAAATCACCAGACCCTCCACCATCTCAAGAGAAGAGGCACGCTGACAGGTCACGAAATCTCACCGATGTAAGGTGGCCTCACCAGACTTCAGAGGTGTTGTGGGATGCACACTGAGATGGTGTGGGGCCTCTCAGCACCTTTTGCCTCAGACTTGGGAGAGGCTTTGTATGTAGACTAATTATCCTTGTGGTGACATGACCATTAAAAGTCAGTGATATTAGTGGTCTGTTCCTTAGCCAGCTGTAAGCTGATGTGGTAACCTTGAACCCAGCTGTCCAGTATGTGCTGTGTGTCATAGGTGCTCACATAGAAGTGTCTTGGGTGCAGTGCATAGCTTTGTAGTGCCTGTAAGTCATGTGTCTCACATGACTGTGCTCCACACCAGCAGTGGCAAGTGACAATTGTTGTTTTCTGCTCTCAACACATCCTCAGCCTTGTCATAAAAAGAGAGGTAGGTACGTAGAACATAATTTATCTTCCTTCAAAATACATAATGACACTTTAAACACACAGCTACT